TGTCCCCAGGCTCCAGGGGCAAGGGAGTCTTCAGTTGTTTGCCTCGGCCTTTCAGACCCGGGGAGCACGGCCAGCCTTCAGCCAGCTGTCGAGGTTGCATCGGGGTCTTTCCTGGCCTCTTCCCCACTGTGTGGGTGCAACACTCTCCTGGGCATGCTGGCCGGCAGAAGAAGTGCTGGGCCTCTTCCAGCAGTGGGGCAATTGTCCAGCTTCATTTCTGGTGCCCAGATGTGTCCCCCTGCCTTTCCGGCTGCTGGGCCCATTTTGAGCCTGCAGCCTCCAGACCAACCAACAGCTCCTTCTCCAGCCATGCGGTGCTGGCCAATTTGATTGTGGCCTGACCACTGGGCTGAAGCTCGAAGTGAAGCTGGCTGGGGGCTTGTCACAAGGGGTTCTGATTCAACCCATGTTGCAATCAGAGGGAGCTCTGATGTTGGACCATGTCAGTAAAGCACAACCATTAATTTTGTACTAGTTTCTTCTCTTGTGGCAGTGAGTGATTCTGGATATTCTGCTCTGTATAACATCCAGTGAGTTCAGAAAGGGCAGGGTTTTAAATGCAGAGTCAATGTTGTACCTCTTTATTTGAGGAACAAAACCTCTCATTGCCCTCTTGGAACTCCTGCTGCAGCTGTCTCCAGTTCTCCTTGCATTGCGTCACGAAAGTGCCTGCGCTGTAGCCAGCAGATCCCTGCGCCTATCTGGACCCCCGTAAATAGCCATGTAAACTGGGGCCTGGTGAGCTGCAGAGCAAAATCCAAATAGTTATTGCTTGGGTTGCACTGAAAGCTAACCGAGTGGGGGCTGCTGGCAGCCTAATCAGTTTTCTGGGTTCTTTGTACCCAGCTGCCCAAAAACCCCTTGGTGTGACAAGAAAAGCAAACATTTCTTAAAGTTCAAATAATGAGGCAACTGCCCCGAGTGACTAGCTGTCAGCACAGCCAAGATGCAATGACCATGGTACACGTTGCCCAACATCCCTGTCATGCCAAACCTCCAGCCAGGCGATAGCACGTAGGAATGACAGAGGAATGAAGTCACAGGAAAATGTGGGTTGACATCATTCTTTATTTTCCCCTCCTTTTTTTTTGTCACCAGACAAAAGCTAGTGTTAAAGGCTGATAGGCCTGAAAACACGTTACAAGATGAAGGGACCCAACAGCAAACCCTGGATGAAAGAAAGGTCCTCAAGATGAGGCTGCATCCGTTTCTGTGACAGGTAGCACTTTCTTATCACCTTCCTTCCAGGATTTGTCCATGCTGACGGTTCATTCATTAATAGAGTGGAGCTCTGCTGCCTTGTGATTTGCACCAAATCCTATAGTTAGGAAGGAAAAAGGCCCGCTTGCTCGGAGCTGCAGGGTTACAGGGACCGAGAATATTTGGGTTGCCCCGTTTGCCCAGGACAGCTGCCAGGGGCAGACCCCAGAACCAGTCCCTACAGCAGTGGTTCTCAGCCTGTCTAGACACAAGACACCTCTCATTAGACTCAAGACCCCTCTTGGAAAATGCCAGCTCTTAGTTTCCATTCATTTTTTTGACTATGGAAAACTAATAAGAGCGGGTTTTTCTGTTGCAAAGCAGTCAGAAAGACCATAACAGGTCAGAAAGTATTTAACAGTGTAGATTCCTGTTTGAAATCTCTGGATTTCTGTTGTGCTGGGGTAACTTGACCCCAGCTGTCTTTCCTGCCCAGAGCAGGGTGGGGGGCTGGGCCCGATGATCTCACGAGGTTCCTTCCAGCCCTAAACTTCTGTGAATCTGTGAATCATGTTTGCACACCTACGAGTGCTAACACTGAGAGGGGATTTAACAGCAGCCTTCAGCTCCCTGCAGGGCAGTTGCAAAGAGGAAGGAGCTGGCCTGTTCTCAGTGGGGGCAGATGACAGGACAAGGAGCAATGGGCTCAAGTTGCAGCAAGGGAAATTTAGGTTAGATATTAGGAAAAACTTTCTTACTAGGAGGGTGGTAAAACACTGCAACAGGGTACCCAGAGAGGTGGTGGAAACTCCATCTTTGGAGGTTTTTAAGAGCAGGCTAGACAAAACTTTGGCTGGGATGATCTAGTTGGGGCTGGTCTTGCATTGAGCTGGGCGTTGGACTGGATGTGACTTCCTGAGGCCCCTTCCAACCCCAGTTTTCTATGATTTTCTATGCATGGCACCGTTGAAAGGATGTCAAGGCACCTGAAGGTACCACGACACCCTGGTTGAGAATTATGGTATTCGAGCTGCTGGATAAAGAAGTGGGAGGAAGGAAAGGGGAGTGGGAAACACCCCTAAAAGCAGTGGAGGAGGCCACCTGCAAGCTGTGGCCTGCTCATCAAACACCTTTAAAAACAGATCTTTAAAAAAGGAGGGTGCAGGGAATAACGGCCCTGTCAGCCTCACCTCTGTCCTGGGGAAGGGTGTGGGACGGACAGTCAATCGCTGTAAGTATTTGGGAGATAAGGTGCTGGCTTTTTGGTTGTAGCGGTGCTGGTCTAAGGAGAGAGAACCTCGCCTGGGGGATAAGGGGGCGCTAGACGAGGCGGGCTGGGCTGGGCTGGGCGGGCTATGGACCCCGGCACAGGGTGGCACGCGGGATCCCGCCATGGGGGAGGGAGAAGGAGGGGTGCTTGAAGGAACAGGGCACGAGTGTGCGTGTTGTGGGAAGGGGGCTGATGGGGGGTGTGCGCGCGCGCCTGGATGTTGCATGAGTGTGTGAGTAACAGGGTGTATGTTGTATGTGTGCACATGCATTGTGTGGGAGTGACAGGATGTGTGTTGTGTGTGTGCATGCATATGTTGGGTGGGTGTGCCCGGATGTGTGTTGTGTGTGTGCATATGCATTGTGTGGGTGTGGCAGGATGCATGTTGTGTGTGTGTGCATATGTTGGGTGGGTGTGGCAGGATGTGTGTTGTGTGTGCACGTGTTGGGTGGGTGTGCCTGGATGTGTGTTGTGTGTGTGCATGCATGTGTTAGGTGGGTGTGACAGGGATGTGTGTTGTGTGTGTGCACACATGTTGGGTGGGTGTGACAGGATGTGTATTGTGTGCGCGCACACGTGTTGGGTGGGTGTGACAGGATGTGTATTGTGTGTGTGCGTGCACGTTAGGTGGGTGTGCCCAGGTGTGTGTTGTGTGTGCACACACGTGTTGGGTGTGTCAGTGTGTGACAGGATGTGCGTTCATTATGTATGGGTGTGCATGCGCCTGTGTGTGATGGGGTGCAAGTCCGTGTGGGAGACGGTGTCTGTATGTTGCCTGTGCACACGTATGTTGTGTGTGTGTGTGTGTGTGACAGGATATGTGGGGGTGTGTGCCAGTTACGTGTGTGTATGTGTCAGTCTGTACATTGTGTGTGCATGTGCACGCATATGTTGTGCGTGTATAACAGGATGTGTGCGCGTGTGTGCCGGTCTGTACGTTGTGTGTGCATGTGCATACATATGTTGTGTGTGTATAACGGTGTGTGCGTGTGACCGTCTGCATGTTGTGTGTGCCCGTGCACACGTACGTTGTGTGTGTATAACAGGGTGTACGCGTGCGTGTGGCTGTCCCCGGGCACGTGGCACGGCGCCCGGCTCCCCGCTGCAGCCGCTCCTCCCCGCCGGAGGGAG